CTCAGCTTCTCCAGTCTCAGCCTCCCAAGTAGCTGGGGCTACAGGCATGTGCCACCACACCTGGCTAATGTACGTATTTTTAGTAGATATGGGGTTTCATCATGTTGGCCAGGCTGGTCTCAAACTCCTGGCCTCAAGTTGCCTGCCCTCCTTGGCCTCCCAAAGTGCTGGGAATACAGACATGTTGCCATGGGTCCTGGCCAAGAAACAGAAAATTAAAAGAAAGAGCTGTTTTGAGATAACAGTGCTAGAGATAATCAACTTAGATGATAAATTTGACAAAATAGAAGAAATAACCATTAAGTGGGTAGAGATACAGAAATGATGCTGGGAAAAAAAGGATAGAAAATCAGATTTAGGAATCATTTTCATAGAGGTGAACTTGAGTCGAGAGGTTCTAAAGTCATGAAAAAGGATGAGATTTAGCCTGGCATGGTGGTGCACACCTGCTGTTCCCAGCTACTGGGGTGGCTGAAGTGAGAAGATCATGTGAGCCCAGAAGTTTGAGGTTGTACTGCATAATGATCATGCTCATGAATAGTCACTGCATTCCAGTCCCAGCGACATAGCAAAACCCCACCTCTAAAACAAAAAAAGAACAGGCCAGGTGCAGTGGCTCATGCCTGTAATCCTTGCACTTTGGGAGGCTGAGGCAGGCAGATACCTGAGGTCAGGAGTTCAAAACCAGCCTGACTAATGTGGTGAAACCCCGTGTCTACTAAAAATTCAAAAATTAGCCTGGTGTGGTGGCGTAAGCCTGTAATCCCAGCTACTCAGGAGGCTGAGGCAGAAGAATTACTTGAACCTAGAAGGCAGAGGTTGCAGTGAGCCGAGATTTCTCCAGCCTGGGCCACAGAGCAAGACTCTTGTCGCAAAAAGAAAAAAAAAAAAGATGAGATTTAGCAAGAAGAAACTTTAGGACCTCACAATTTTTAAGTACAAAATATTTCACATATGTAGAATAGTACAGAGAACAATAATATGTAACACTCCATACCTACCACCCAGATATTCAAATGTCATTCTTTTGATATATTTGCTTCAGATTCTTTTTTACATTTTTTTTCCTAAAGGAACAACAAACATTACAGATACAATTGAGACTATCTCCATTCCCTTCTCTCCTTCACTACAGATATGTACTATCCTCCTATTGTTCTGTGACCCTTCTAATTAGTTTTATACTCTTATGACATAGACAGAGCCAAAAATATTATGCTAGGTGTAAATTAGGTATGGGCTTGGTGCAGTGGCTCACACTTAGCACTTTGGGAGACCAAGGCAGGAAGACTGCTTGAGCCCAGGAGTTCGAGACAAGACTGGGCAACATGGCGAGACCCTGTCTCTATTAAAAATTTAAAAATTAGCCGGATGTGGTGGTATCCACCTGTGGTCCCAATTACTCTGGAGCCTGCAGTGGGAGGATGGCTTGAGCCCAGGAGGTCAAGGCTGCAGTGAGCTGTGTTCACACCACTACACTCCAGCCTGGGCAACAGAGTGAGACACTGTCTCAAAAAAAAAAAAAAAAAAAAAAAGTATGTACATGATATATGTACATATTCTTTTAAAATTTGCTTTTCTTTTATTCAATATTCATATATTTTAGAAATTCATCCACAATTATATATGTGTATATATACAGGAATACATGAAGTACATTCATTTTAACTTCTATATCGTATGCCATTACATGAATATGTCATGAAATATTTCTCCATTTTTTTCTAGTTTTAGCTTTTATAAACAATGTTGTAATGGACAGCCAAGTGTATATTCCAAGCATATGTGCACACTTGCCCAAGAGTTTCTAAGGGGTATAGAGTCCATATTTCTTCTCTTTTTTTTGAGCTGGGGTCTCACCCTGTCACCCAGGCTGGAGTGCAGTGGTGCCATCATGGCTCACTACAGCCTCAGCCCCCCAGCTCAAGCTCAAGCCTCAGACTCCCTAGCAACTGGGACTACAGGCATGTGCCACCCCATTTCGCCTTGTTGCCCAGGCTGGTCTCGAACTCCTCAGCTCAAGTGATCTGCCTGCCTTGGCCTCCCAAAGTGCTAGGATTACAGGTGTGAGCTATCCCACCTGGCCTGGATATATACATTTCTAACAGATAATACCAAATTGCTTTCTAAGTGCATGAATTCTACCCTACATCTCCACGAATACTTATCTTGCCAGATTTCTAATTTTTCCTTATCCATCAGGCATAAATTATTGTCTTGTCCTCTAATTTGCATTTATCTGATCACCACTGAGTTTGGACATTTTTATTCAGGTCCCTCCTTCTGGGAATGAAATTGCTTACTGTAATCTTTGTCCTTAGTTTCTATGAGGTTGAGGGTCTTTTTTCTTTTCTTTCTTTTTTTTTCTTTTACTGAGTTACGGGGGTTCTTTATGTATTTTGGATAGGAATTCTTTGTCAGTTGCATGTATTCTAAACGTCTTTTCCCAGTCTATGCTTTGTCTTCTAACACTATTTACTATTTACTGTGTCTTTAAGGTTTTTTTGTTTGTTTTTGCTTTTTTGATACAGTCTCACTCTGTTGCCCAGGCTGGAGTGCAGTGGCACGGTCTCGGCTCACTGCAGTGCCTCATGGGTTCAAGCGATTCTCCTGCCTCAGCCTCCTGAGTAGCTGGGACTACAGGCACCTGTCACCACGCCCAGCTAATTTTTGTATTTTTATTAGAGACGGTGTTTCACCCTGTTGGCCAGGCTGGTCTCAAACTCCTGACCTTGTGATCTGCCTGTCTCAGCCTCCCAAAGTGCTAGGATTACAGGCTTGAGCCACCACGCCGGGCCAAGTTTTTTTAATTATGAAAATGTTCAATTGCTCACAAAAGTTGAGAAAACAATATATTGAAACTACATTGTCTGTTACCCAGACCCAACAAGTAACAAGATTTTGCTATATTTGCCTTATCTCTCTCTTTTTCTTTCTTACATTTCTGCCAACATATTTTAAAGTAATCCCAGATTGCATGTCATTTCACTCCTACATACTTCATTAAGCATCTATACAACTAAGGACATTTTCTTATGTAGTCACCATGTGCCAATCATGATGATTTCTATCAAAATTAACAACTATTCTTTCGTATCACCTAATAGATGGTGATCTGGGATACTTGGAAGTTTTTAATGAGGCTGCAGTTTTTCTGCTGCAAAACACAGATATCGCATTGCCTGGCCTGGGATTACAATTGCTGTCCTTCCTATGTGATGATGACCCATGCGTGATTCCACTACTGACTGATCAGCAGGTCCTTCTTCAGGAAGCAGGAAGGCTTTTCTGCACCTGGGAGAGACAGGCGACGACTGCTTCAGTCTGTACCCGTGGCAGCTGCTTACAAAGCATATGACCACTTAAGTCATTATCTCTGACACCTCTGTTGGAAAATAGCCATCTACCTCAGAGGAGGTGGTCTGTCTGCTGCTGATAGATCCAGGCAACCACACCGATGCTTCCCTCTGAGGTCTGGAAATTCACACATAAAAGTCTTCATAACCTTTAGGGAAGAGGCAGCCAGAGAAACTCGATTCCAGTCAGGATGGTTTGGGGGATGGGCTAAGGTTAATCCCTCTACCGTGTTCTCAGAATGAAGAAAACAGACATTTACTGGGAAAAAGAACAGCTCTGAATACAAATACTAGAATAGGGCTTTTCAAATGTGTGCCTTCTGTGGCTCCCTTTATCCAGAGAAAAAGAGTCCATGGATTTCTCCCTATACTGCTTAACGTGGCAAAAGACCCCGAATTGCTGGAATTAATGGGAAGACTAGAGCAGCTCTGGATAAGACACCAGTGAGGTAATGTCTGGTTTTTGTTAAATATCCCAAATAGATTACTCACTCTTGCTAGATAAAAGGTAAAGACACTGTGGTGCTATTAACACAAATCCTGCTGCAAACAGGGCCCCCATGGGTCCCCGGACTGGGGAGCTGCCATGCTGTTCAGAAGACCAGTGGTGGGGGCAGGAGAGGGGGGCAGTCACAGTAAACATTGTCCAGAGAAGAAAACCAGTCAGCTCTGTGATCTTTGCAGACTCCTTTTTGTTAAGGAACCCAGAACACCAATGAGACCCTGGGAAGCTCATATTAGACAGAGCCAGAAAGAAGGTCTGTGGGAAAGATCCCTTCTCTCTGTCTTCAGTAGAAGAGCTAGCTTGGCAGAACTGGATAGCCAGGCCCGAAGGCTCCACTGGCTCCTCTTACCCTCGGGGCTTTTGATTCTACACCTGGAGCAATTCCTTCCATTTAAAGCACTTTTTTTTTTTCTTTTTTTTTAGAGACAAAGTCTCACAAAGCCCAGGCTGGAGTGCACTGGCGTAATCTCAGCTCACTGCAATCTCCGACTACCAAGTTCAAGTGATTCCCCTGCCTCAGCCTCCTGAGTAGCTGGGATTACAGGCCTGCCCCACTACGCCCGGCTAATTTTTATATTTTTAGTACAGATGGGGTTTCACCATGTTGGCCAGGCTGGTCTTCAACTCCTGACCTCAGGTGATCCGCCCACCTCGGCCTCCCAAAGTGCTGGGATTACAGGCATGAGGCCACTATGCCTGGCTTTTTTTTTTTTTTTAATTATTTTTTGAGACATGGTCTCCCTCTGTGGCCCAGGCTGGAGTGCGGTGGCACGATCTTGGCTCACTGCAATCTCCACCTCCCAGGTTCAAGTGATTCTCCCGCCTCAGCCCCCTGAGTAGCTGGGATTACAGGCATGTGCCACTACAGGCCAGCTAATTTTTGTAATTTTAGTAGAGATGGGGTTTCACCATGTTGGCCAGGCTGGTTTCAAACTGTTGACCTCAGGTGATCTGCCTGCCTTGGCCTCCCAAAGTGCTGGGATTACAGGCGTGAACCACCACCCCCGGCCCCATTTAAATCACTTTACAGTTTACAAAGAATTTCCACATGCATTGTTTCAACTGCTCCTCATAAGAGCCTTGTAAGATGAGCTGAGAATATTGAGGCTCAGATTGGTTAAGTCATCAGGCAGAGTCATAGCTGTTTTCCTCCATTTATTGAGAGAGTTGGATAAAAGTCTCCGAGGTAGTTCCCTCCTCAACCTTAGAGTCTAGGGTTGTCAGAGGCCTGGGAGAGGCTGAGAAGAGAGCCAGGGAATTGGCAGAGCTTCTGTCCTGCAAAGAGGCAAATGGAACACCAGGAAACTGGACCTTTTTCCCCAAGGATTCTTGCTTTCAGTCGAGTCATCCCACATACTCTCTGACTCTGTGGTAGGGTCCTTGAAATTTCATTTCACAATTTCCTGGCAGATATCAGGGCAGCGGATGGTAATCCCGTTAGTGTTGGCCAGTCTCCCAAACAGGCCCAAATGCTGCCTGCTTGCCCTGTTGCAAACTTCCTCCTCCCCTCTACTGTTGCCTGGCCAGCCGGCCCTTAATCTTAGTGGTGAGCTCTGCAACCTTGCCAAGAAGTCTCCCAGACAAGTGTAAACTCCTCATGATTGTGAGCAAACAGCAAGGCTGGCATTCCCCATCACACCTGCCATCCCCTCACTCACTTCCATTTATAAGCTTACACTATATGCAGGACCTGCCTTACAGAAGCCCTGAGACACAGTCAGTCAGGCTCACAGGAGCTGGGAACTCAGCTCCTTCAGACCGGAAGGACCTGGGTCTGCGCTGGGAAATGTTTGCGCTCATCATGTCGAATGCATCATCCATGAACTTTTCCTCTGAAAAGCTTAGCATATCTCACTGTGATTCTTGCTGCTCCCAGTTCCTCTTTCTAAAGGAAATCACCAGCCTCCTCTGGGGCCTCAAAGCTTTAGTAATCAGGAACTAAATAACATGAAAAACATGGAGAATTGCATGGAGGCAAAACAGTACCACAGCTGTACCTACTATTTATAATGAAAGTCAGCCCAGAGTGCCTGCCTTTTTCATCATCTCTCAGTTATCCACATGCTCGACCTGGGGGACAGGAGAGAGCAGGTAGAAAATCATGATTATCCTGTGGTTCACCTTACAGTTTACAACGCATTTTGAAAATTTACATACACTTGGCCAGGCACGGTGGCTCATGCCTGTAATCCCAACATTTTGGGAGGCGGGCGGATCACTAGGTCAGGAGATCCAGACCATCCTGGCTAACATGGTGAAACCCCATCTCTACTAAAAATACAAAGAAATTAGCTGGGCGTGGTGGCAGGTACCTGTAGTCCCAGCTACTCGGAAGGCTGAAGCAGGAGAATGGCATGAACCCAGGAGGTAGAGCTCGCAGTGAGCCAAGATCACGCCACTGCACTCCAGCCTGGGCAACAGAACGAGACTCCATCTCAAAAAAAAAAAAATTACAGGCCGGGCGCGGTGGCTCAAGCCTGTAATCCTAGCACTTTGGGAGGCCGAGACGGGCGGATCACGAGGTCAGGAGATCGAAACCATCCTTGCTAACCCGGTGAAACCGCGTCTCTACTAAAAAATACAAAAAAAACTAGCCGGGCGAGGTGGCGGGCGCCTGTAGTCCCAGCTGCTCAGGAGGCTGAGGCAGGAGAATGGCGTGAACCCGGGAGGCGGAGCTTGCAGTGAGCTGAGATCGCGCCACTGCACTCCAGCCTGGGCGACAGAGCGAGACTCCGTCTCAAAAAAAAAAAAAAAAAAAAAAAAATTACATACACTTAAAATACGTTATTTCTCTCAATTCTCAGAATAAAACCATATAGTACATAATAGATACAAATTTTGGTTTCTCTTCTTTTTTCCCAATGAGGTTGGAAAGGAAGATACTACTCTTTCTACCTTACTAAGAAGCAAATCAAGGTTGTAATTATTCAAAATCAAATAAATATATTGTAGTGGACTCTAAACTCAAATTCAGCTTTCCTGGCAATAAATGCCAGAATCCCAGATTCCTGGGTTTTCTATATGACCCCTTCCTCTTAAGTCCTTTGCTCCCTGTGGAGCTGTAGCTTTGTTTTGTTTTATTTTATTTTATTTTAGAGACAGAGTCTCACTCTGTGAGACCAGTGCACAGCACGATCCTGGCTCACTGCAGACTCTACCTGCCAGGCTCAAGTAATTCTCCCACCTCAGCCTCCCGAACAGCTGAGACTACAGGTGTGTGCCACCATGTCTGGCTAATTGTTTCATTTTATTTTATTTTTATTTTTATTTTTGAGATGAAGTCTCGCTCTGTTGCCCAGGCTGGAGTGCAGTGGCATGATCTCGGCTCACTGCAAGCTCCACCTCCCGGGTTCACGCCATTCTCCCGTCTCAGCTTCCCTAGTAGCTGGGACTACAGGCGCCCGCCACCATGCCTGGCTAATTTTTTGTATTTTTAGTAGAGATGGGGTTTCACCATGTTAGCCAAGATGGTCTTGATTTCCCGACCTCGTGATCCGCCCACCTCGGCCTCCCTAAATGCTGGGATTACAGGCGTCAGCCACCGTGCCTGGCCTATTATTTTATTTTTTGTAGAGACAGGGTCTCATTATGTTACCCAGGCTGGTCTCGAACTCCTGGGCTCAAGCAATCCTCCCACATTAGCCTCTCAAAGTGTTAAGATTACAGGTGTGATCCACCACGCCAGGGCAATTTTACTTTATTGAGACAGTTCTCGCTATTGACCATGCTGGAGTCCGGTGGCACAATCACAAGTCATTGCAGCCTCTATCTCCTGGGCTCAAATGATCCTCCCACCTCGACCTCCCAAATAGGTAGGACTACAGGCAAATGCCACCATGTCTGGTTAATTTTTACTTTTTGTAAAGATGAGGTCTTGCTATGTTGCCCAGGCTGGTCCCAAACTCCTGGGCTCAAGGAATCCTCTTGCTTCAGCCTCCTAAAGTGCTGGGATTACAGACACGAGCCACTGTGCCTGGCCTATAGCTTTAAAAATTTCCCTAACGTACACCATCCTCACTATTCCCAGGAACAGTTCTAAGTAATTGAAGTCTATGAACTAGTTTAATCCTCATAAAACACTGAGGTAGGTATCAATATTATTCCCATTCTATAGACAAGGAAACTGATGCATGTAGTGGTTAGCAAATATGCCCAAAGGTACACCGCTCATAAGTGGCAGAGCAGGAATATGAATACAGCCAGCCTGGTTCCGGGGTCTGGATTCTTGATCACTGTACTATACCAACTTTCACTTTGTTGTGAGCACCTGCCTGTCTCAGAGATCAGTCAGTAAGTCCTTTGAAGACAAAAACTGTCCTTTGATCCTTATTCCTGAGCCATAGGCATTACATTTGGTACAGAGTATATGCTCAATAACCATCTATTCATGCATCTGAACAAATGCATGAATAACTGGTCAGGAGGGACGCCAGCAGAAAGGCCACCCTGTTTAAACCTAAAATCGCAGAACTCAAACTGTTCCTCCATTCTTTCTTCTGCTTTTCTCCAAGATATTACATAGCCACAAAAGCAGATTCTTGATTCCAATCTAGTCCATCCTTTGATAGACTTTGAGTGATCAGCTCTCCCAAAGGCAGTGCCAGCTCTCAAGTACCCAATGCAGAGCTGCTGGGGACCCCGGCTGAGGTCCATCTTTAGGCTCCCAGGGCTACACTTTCGTGTTGGGGTTTAGGTCAACAGGATTCCCACAGAAACTGGAAATCAGACCCACGGACAGCATCTATGGTGAGGTGGAATCAAACAGTAAGGGCTTCCCAGAACGTCCGAGTGAATCAGCTGCTCAGGCTGGGACAAATCCAGAACACATACCCACAAGGGGTGGCAAGTTGTAAATTGAGATCTAATATGAGCCATCTGGTCTGGCAAAATGGCCAACTGGAGGGATGGGAGCCTGGAAACTGCCCAGAAGCAAACTTATCTTGGGGAAATGATGAGTCAGCTCTGTCCAAAAACAAAAGCCTTTAATGAAGTCCTTCGCAGTAAGCCCCATAGTATCTTTCTGGAGCAGCCAGAGTTGAGTAACTCCATCTAAAGGTTACCTCTGGATTCAAAGTTTTTAGATGCCTGGTCCCAGGCCTGGGTATAACAGAGCATGAACACAGGCGAGGTAAACCTGCATTGCTTTGTGGGGGTGGGATGGGATTCAAGAATCATTTCACAGCCAGATAGATGTGTCAGGTAAGATGTGATGGGACATGCAGGACTAGCTGGGGTCCAGCATTTCCCCCTAGCATGGGGACAGTTTAGCCTTGGTCCTGGAGGACAGCTTTCCAGTGTCTTCTCCCAGCCACAGTCGCTAAAAAGCAACCAATTACCAGGTCTAATTATCTTCCCTCAGCCTCTTTTCTGGCAGCAGCTGCCAAGGCTCTTGCCAAAACTCTGCTTCACCAACACCCTGATCCAAAAAGCCCCAAGTCAACAAGGAGAAGGCTCTGTGGGCCCAGAACAGCTGTGAGGCTTCCCAACACCAAGACGGGGCACAAGAGGTCAGCGCCGGGAGCTTCAAAGCAACTCGCCCCCTTGGCCTCAGCATCTGGATGGAGGAGAAGTGGTGGCGCCAGCCACCTGGAACCACACCAGAAAATGACACAATGGCAATCAACACACTGGCCCCAACCACCCCCACCCCAGGAAGTTAGGAAGCTTTTTAAAGGCCTGTTTGTGCTTGTGGTGGAAGCTCCAAGGTCAGGGCTGGCCTACAGCTCAGCGTGTGCTTCACAGCTGAGCGTAGCTGGGAGGTAGGTCAGGGATACTCTAGGTCGGGGCTGGGGGCTCTCAGGGCACCACACCACTGCTGATCCCTACTTCCTTGCACTCCAAAGTAGCTTTCCTACTTCTGCCCACAGGTGAGCCTGAGACCTGATTCACCTCTTCCTGCATGGAGCAAGAGGTAGCTTCCTCCTGAAAGATGTCCTGAGCCGCAGAGGTTCTCTCTGACTTGCACAAGAATGAGTGTTCAAAACCCCAGTCACCTAGGGGGCCTGGACTTGTGTGAGCAGAAGTGGGGAAAACCAGGTGGCCATCCACTCGGCCTCCAACCTTGCAGCCCCAGGGGAAGAAGGACCAGGTGCAGTTTGCTGGGCAGTTATGAAACTTGAGAAGCTGGAGTGACTTTGGGCTGGTGCTTTGAGAACAGGGAGGTATTGTGTGATGAGGCGCAGAGAGGGTATAGAATACCCAACAGTTCATGCACAAACACGATCCCAGCCTTGTGCGGAGAAAGGGGCTTCCAGGGGCCTGGGTGGTTTCAAACTGGAATGTGAGGAGAAAGGTAGTGCCTATGAGGCTGTTGTTGACCCATACCCAGAAGAAGGCGCAGAAGCCAAGCCAGCCCTCACCCCTACGCACAGACAGTTCCACAGAGCTCAACACATATGCCCTGAGACAACATCTCTGGGGATATAGAAATCCTATCTGTCAGCAATTAAAGAATATTTTCTTAAATCTTTGGAGGGCATCTTCTCCATGTGTTGTCATCTTGGTCATCAGCAAATACCCACTGAGCAGGACCATCTGCATGGTCCTGTCAGAGGTATTAGGTCACGAAGGCCAGTGCCTGCCCTCCCCGGCCCTGCACCCTGATGACAGACACCAACCATAAGGGGCAGCAAAATAGCTGGAGATTGAGCAACCAGACACACCAGGCTTGCAACTGGTCAAACAAGAAACGCAGTGCACCTCATCTGTGCACTAAAAACAAAAGCTTTACAAGTTTTACAATTTTTCTCTCTCACAGTGACTGGAAAGCTGGATAAGGTGAGAAGAGAATTTCTCTGCAAAGCAGAGAAATTGGGTAGAGAAAGTGATAATGGAGTGATAAGCCAGGGGAGCTGGGAACAATGGCTCTCAGGTCTGAGTCGGGAAGGATCCAGGACAGGCACCTAATTGGTTATGGTTTCACTCTCCTCTCTGGGCTTATATTCTCCATCTGTCCTCCCACAGTTTCCAGCTGAGGGCGCTGAGATCTGGTAGGTCTCAAACCCTTTCTCCCTTTACTTACTGAAAGAAAGCTGTAGTTATCAGCATGCTGGCTCTTGCAGCCCCAGGTG